AAATACATTTCTATCTCAGATTGCCAATCTCTGCCCACAGGGACCGGGACCCTGCCCCAGCAGTTGTACTGTGGAATAAATACATTTCTATCTCAGATTGCCAATCTCTGCCCACAGGGACCGGGACCCTGCCCCAGCAGTTGTACTGTGGAATAAATCCATTTCTATCTCAGATTGCCAATCTCTGCCCACAGGGACTGGGAATGCCGCCCTGCCCCAGCAGTTATATTGTGGAATAAGTCCATTTCTATCTCAGATTGCCAATCTCTGCCCACAGGGACCGGGGCCGTACCTGGCCCTCCCCAGCAGTTGTACTGTGGAATAAGTCCATTTCTATCTCAGATTCCCAATCTCTGCCCACAGGGGCCGGGGCCGTACCTGGCGTCCAGGAAGCGGGAGCGCAGGATCATGACGGCCTCGCAGGTGCTCTGCTTCAGCTGCATCTGGATGGTGCTGAACTTGCCGTGGATGATGCTCACCATGCGCTCGATCTCCTTGGGGGAGATGGGCCTGGTCCGGCTCTGCTCCCGCAGCAGGTTCATCACGTGCGTGGTGAACTCGCTGCAGGCCTGGGGACACAGGGATTTGTGGCGGCAGCCCCTGCGCTCGCTCCCCCGGCGCCGAGAGCCCCCCCAAAGCTCCAGAGGAGTCTCTTCAGCTGGATTTTACTCTTTTACAAAACTCCACACAGGTACGAGCCGGCCCTGCTCTCTATTTGAGGTGCACTCCCTCCAGCTCGGCCTTTCCGGAGTCCAGCCTGTCCCTGTCCTGGCCTCAGAGCCCACGGCAAAGGGGGAGGGGAGGGGAGGGGACAAAGGGTCATTTGGGTTGGGAGGATAAAAACTCTTCCATGCAGAAAGATCACCTGTTCATATTTCTCTAGCTCAGAGTGGTAAATCTGTCGGATCTGGGACAGCTTGGCCCTGTAGTCAGAGTGCTCAATGCTATTGTCATTGGGACAGCCACCTGATGCCGCTGCTCCCGCCAGCGCTCCAACTCCTCCTCCTCCTCCTCCTCCTCCTCCTCCTCCTCCTCCTCCTCCTCCTCGGCCTCTTTTCTCC